TGTTGTGTTGTGTTGGACTTTTTATTATTATTATTTTGAGTCTTTTATTATTTTTTGTATTTAAGAATCGTCGTGTTTTTATTGAATTGTGTTAGCCGCTTCTTCGATGGCAATGCCGGCAACCGCGGCTGTCTCCCCTCCCCTTTGTCTTCCTTTCTCTTCTTCTCTCTCTCCCTCCACCTGCAATTCCATTCTCCATTCCCATTCTACGGATTCTGTTCGATCCCGAAGCCATCACTACAAACTTTCTTCTTCTTTCCAGCTGAAGCGGATCCAACCCGAGTCCCTCGCCTTCGCGCTCGAGCAGTCCGCGGAGAAGGGATCTCTCCGAGAAGGATTGCAAATTCATGCTCGCCTCCTTCGCCTCGGCCTGCTCACCTGCGATGACGCCAACCACCTCTTCCACCACCTCCTCCTCCTCCTCTACTCCTTTGCTGGGCGGCCTGACTCCGCCGCTGCGGTCCTCCGCCTTATCCCTTCCCATATACTCACAACTTTCTTTTTTAACACGGTCATCCGCGACCTCGCAGCTTCCTTCCCGGAGCTTGCGGTTGACCTCTTTATCAACATGCTCGTCGCGGGCCTATGTCCCAACGAGTTCACTTACCCATTCGTCCTACGCTCCTCATCTCTACTCGGCCGTCTCTTTCTCGGACGGCAGCTCCACGCTCACGTACTGAAATATGGTCTTCAGCATCACAATGTCTTCTGCGCCACCGCACTTCTTGATCTGTACGCTAAACTGGCTCCTCTATCAGATGCGCGCAAATTGTTTGATAGAATTCCCAACAGAAATGAGGCTACTTGGAATTCAATGATTGCAGCGCTTGTGGAAAACGGGTTGCTGGAGAGCGGATTGGAAATGTTGGAGATGATTGAAGACGATGGGTTCCAGGTTGGTGTTAGCAGCTGGAATTCATTTCTTGCTGGCTGTGTTCGCTCAGGGAACGTCGAGCTTGCTTGGGAGATTCTTGTAGAGATGGTTTCTAGATCAGCAATGAGTATGAATGCAGCCACATTTAACACCCTTCTTCCTGTAATTCCTGAAATTCCTT